TACACAATTGTCTCCTATACTGACCTTCAAACTGTTGAGGGCTGACTGTCAGAGTCAAAGGCACCTCATTTGCATTAGCGGATTGTCCAATCTCTTTTCTGGGTCACAAACACCTTATTTACATAGTCCCATCCAATCATTTATGGGAGTTCTCAGGCTCTGACTAAAAGGGCCATATAAGAGCAATTCATTACACTTCACAGAAGAGACGTGTTCACCTTTGTCAATTTTAGGAAATATTTTAAGTAAACACACAAGTGATTTGGAAGGTTTGCTTTCCTTTATCTCACATTGCACATAAGCTGGAAGGTTCTAGCTCTCCTGGAAGAACCTGACTTCAACCTTGCCTGCAGGGCTGCACATCCAGGACCCAGTGACTGAAGACTACAGAAGAGGCACTTCCTTCCCCAGAACTCCTAGACCGCAGCACGCTCACAACTCCCGCCCAGACAACTCATGCTTTTCTCTGCACCCCTCAGCTCCCATTCAACTTTCGGGGTCCTCTAAGAAGAACTTTATGAAAAGAGTATGGAGCATTCCAAGATGGGACAGGGGACACAGAGCTGCCATAGGCAATGACTGGGAGTGGCTGGACTCAGAACAGCTTTGTGGCTCATGGGTGACAGAGAATGCAATCCAACATGGTGTGCACATCACTGTTCCTATCTCAGTTAGGAATGCGAAAGGGACACGCAACACTAGAAGCTCTTAAGAATCTAGAAAGTCTTCTTATTCTGACCACAACAGTTGCTGAAGGACACTCAGCTGAAGAGGACATGCAGCACCCAGTCAATGCTTCTCTGTCTTCCCACATTTCCACTCTCAGCATCCTCCTGCCATTGACCTCTTCATCTAGAAACACATCGCATCTCGTCTTCTGTAACCATATTCTGTGGTGTTGGATGGTCTCATGGGCTCCTTTTTCTGGTCCTCTCTCCTATTGCCTCTTTCTTTCTCAACCTTCTGGTCATTACAGGGTCACACCTGAAAGGATTACATGGATAAGAGTCATACTTTAGTTCCCGAAAACATATACCTTTATAACTAACTTCATGAAGGATAACTTTCCAGTGAGTCAAACATCAGTTTGGGTACCATTTCTGACTGTTCGGAACCATGATTCCACAGAAGAATCTAGGGCTGAGAAACGCAGACCAGAATTTCAGAATTTCACGGAGTGCAGACATTCTCTAGCCATTAAGTCTCCATGAAGAATCTAAACTGTTTCCCTGAGATCATCTTGAAAACTTACCAAAAATATCCCCTGATGTCTTCTTAAAATCATAAATAGTTTAGCTTAACAACTGAAAACTATCTACCATGAACAATGTGCTCTTTTAAGATCCATATAAAGGCATCTTTTGTTTTACTGTCTTTACCTTACTGGGCTTGCAGATATTGTATTTATCGACCACTGAAGACTGGTGGCCACACTACGTCAAGCAAGTCTACTGATGTCATGTTTCAAACAGACTGTGCTTGCTTTCTTCCTAACTCTGTACCCCATTTGGATAATTTGCATATTATTTCAAACTTTTTCTTAATTCAATTGCATACTTCGTAGACTACAGTAGAGTGTACACATAACTTAGACACTGGGAAAGAAACAAAGATTGTGGGACTTGCTTAATTGTAGTATTTGGTTCATTGTGGCCTTTTCAAACAGAGTCCTCAATATCTCCCAGATACAGCTGTGTGACAACAGCACCTGAGAAGGTCAGACAGAAACTCCGGGGTCAGTTTACTTAACGAGGGAGGAAGGTTCATAAAAGGAGGTTGAGAATGGCTACACAACCTAAAGAATGTAATCAATCACTCTTGCTCAATTGCATATGTAAAGAAAAAGAAATAAAGTTTAAGTAAAATTGTTCCATTTGTATATACTCTGCTGTGTATATTCTCAACACCAACAAAAACAAAACACATTTGGAAGAAAGAATCAGCATTAACTGGTTCCTATACAGCAGTGATGCATCTTCACCTTCCCACTTCTCCGTTGTGTTTGACATCAGCCGCTTGCTGCCTGACACTCTTGACCTCTCTTCTGGGCTTCAGAATTCACTGCAATTATTACAGAACTCACAGAAAAACAACGGCAATGACAACTGTAATAAAACAGAGAACAATAGGACCAGAAATGGTTCTGAGAGATGAAATGCCCTGGGTGAGGTCTGGGTTGAGTTCCAGCATGAAGACCCAGCGTACCCTCCTCAGAACAGACGTTCCCTCCACCAGCCAGGGAAGGATCGATGACATCACTCGTCATTCTCTCCATCATCTGTCTCTCCACCATCACACTCTCCACCATCACACTCTCCACCACCGGTCTCTCCATCATCGGTCTCTCCATCATCAGTCTCTCCACCATCAGACTCTACAGCATCCGACTCTACCATCAGACTCTCCACCAACGGTCTGTCCACCATCAGACTCTCCACCATCGGTCTCTCCATCATCCATCTCTCCACCATCAGACTCTACAGCATCCGACTCTCTACCATCAGACTCTCCACCAACAGTCTGTCCACCATTGGACTCTCCACCAACAGTCTGTCCACCATTGGACTCTCCACCAGTGGACTCTATACCTCCTGACTCCTGCTCTTCTGACAGCAGATCTTCTCAGCTTATCTCTCTCTCACCCAACTGAACAAAGGTCTTAGTTGACAGACTCCAGTCGACTTCTGCCATTTCTGTGAGGGAGAGTTAAGCTTCACCAGCAACTGCTGTCAATTGCTGGAACACAGCTCATAGCCAGTATACCAGCTCTCCCCTGCAAACAATTCCCAATAAAGATTAAATAAATCATTATATACATACAACTCTGGAACAAGAAT